CCCGCCGCCATGGGGCCGCGCCCCCCACCCGCAAACACACACACACACATGCACACACCCTAAGCCACGCCGGGCAGCCTCCTGTTGATTCCGGGTTTCTTCTGCGCAAGAAAAACACAAAAGGGGGAAAAAACAACAACAACCGAAGGAATTTGAGCTAACCAAAGAAAGGAAAAAAAGGGAGAAAACACGGCTAATGCTTATCCTGTTTATTCTCTTGGTGGTGTTTCTGCCCAGTCCAGCTCTCTCTCTTTCACCTCCGGATTTAGTTCGCCAACGGCACGCACATGGCGAGCTTTTTCTTTCGTTAACGGAGAGCTACGCAAAGGCACTTCACGCCAATGGAGAGTATGCCAACACAACAGCGTCTGTGTTTCGTCAACTGCTTAATCATTCGGATCCTGAAGGACCTACCTTTGATCAAAGGTATTGGGTGGATTACTCCGCGTGGAACGGTACTGATCGAGCCATGTTGTACATTCCAGGCGAAGGCCCAGGTCGTTCGTCTCCAACAGGATACCCCGGACTGTATGGACACCAGCGTCAGATGTTGTTGTTCTCTTTAGAAAACAGGTACTATGGAGAAAGCTTACCGGCTCCCTTGACAGACAAGATGAAGATTAAAAAGTTTCTCAGTGTTGACGCCGCCCTTGACGATTTGCGTTATTTCCAGACGTTTGTAGAAGGTAAACTTGTTGGAAAGAAGCTTCGATGGCTTATTGTTGGCGGAAGCTACGCTGGTGCATTGAGCGTTTGGTTCAAGGTGAAGTATCCAACTGCTGCATTAGCAGTATGGAGCAGCAGTGGGGTTGTTGAGCCTAGATTCAACTTCTATGCATATGATGGACATGTCAAGGCAGAAATACCACCAGATTGTACCAGGTCAGTAACTGTGGTACAATCATTGTTCTTGGATATGTGGGAGAACGCAAGCACCCGAATTGAATTTTTAAACCGTTTTGGAATTCCACACTACTTTGACAAAGCTGGTATATCTTATATGTTGGCCGATGCTGTCGCAGGTGCTGTGCAATATGGAAAGAAGTGGCAAATGTGTGATATGATTGTACCGCAAAACAAAACAGACCCTTTGGGGCAGTTCCTGAAGATGATTATTCGCATGTATGGCTTGAACTTTACCTCTGGTTGCTCTTTCAGTACAGTGTGCCTATCGAATGCGTCCATGTCCGACCAATGGGCTTCTGCAGATTATTCATGGGTTTACCAAACCTGCAGAGAACTTGCGTACTTTCAAGTGGGTTACCATAAAAGTCTTCGACTTGAAGATGTAAATACAGAATACTTTGTGGACCAATGCCGTTCGGCGTTCGGTGCTTCGGTGTTTCCTGATGTTTTTGAGTTTAATGCCAAATGGGGAGGCAAAAGACCAAATGCTGGAAATGTGGTTGCATTGCAGGGATCGGATGACCCATGGAGTGAGCTGGGTGTTACCAAAACGCTACGAACAAACTATCAAGCTTTCGTTGCCGAATGTGAAGGATGTGGTCATTGTGGCGATCTTGGGTTACCAGGACCAGAGGATCCGCCGTCGTTGACTCAGCAACGAATAGATCTATCTCGGTGTTTAGATATATGGATGTCAGGAGAGCCTACGCCTTACCATCTCCTACTGCATGGCAACTTCACCAGGTTATCCCTCATGCATGAGGAAATGCTAATGAAAGTGATACAGAGTGACCTACATGATTTTTTCGATCATAGTGCAGATGTTCACTCAATCACTATTGATATTGAAAACTGGACACTGTCTATCCGCTTCGTGGCCTACGTTAACACTCTTAATAACGGAGAATTGGCTGCAGCTGTGACAAGTCTGCAGAGCGGAACGTCGTGGCTACGTAATATGAAGCAGGTTTTGGCTCGTTTGGGGAGTGAGAACGAGGTTATTGTACTCTCTTTTGAACAACTCATTGCACCAAGTGATCTCGAAGAGCGGGAAAGTACATTTTATATAGGTGTTGCCATGAGGATTATAGTATTCATATCACTTATTATTAACCTTCTTGTCACGGTTGAATATAGCTGTATTTGGGGACTGAGTATTAAGTGATGTATTCGAGGACGGTATATTTGAGGAGATTCTTTATTGTACGTGCACGATCAACAACGTTGCGGGATGCGCTACTCAGGAGTCCTGATGTGGCATTTTTCTGTTTTTTTTTGTTTCTGTTTTGGAGGAACAAGGCGTATGTCATTACAAAGAACCTTTTTGTTGCTTTTAACATATGCTGTATTTCCAAGTAACACTCAAGAATCTGAGGGGAAAAAATAATCTGGAGACCTGATGTTCCTCTCTCTCTATCTCTCTCTCTCTCTCTCTTTCTCTCTCTCTCTGGATTTGAAATCACGTAAGTAGGGCGGGTTCAAAAAGTATGGTATTGCACGTGGCATGCACGATTTGATGATTCTTCCCCTCGTAGGATGCGTATACTATCGCATGAATGTGTGACGAAGCCAGCATGGTATGCGGGCGACGTGGAACCGCCCCTAAAACGTTACAGCTTGCACTTTTTTTTATCAACTCTCCCTGATATTTGTGCTTAGGAATCTACTGTAACCGCTGTGTCTCCATGATGGATACATACAGGTGTGCATTCGATTGCCGTTTCATGGCTTCTTTGGGGGAGAGGAGAGGGGAGGGGAGCTTGCAGTTGGTAAGATTTTGACTAATCATGTCTTTTCTCGTTGTACTGGTGTCATTAGGGGGCTTCGCCTGAGTCTCTATGTGATAGCTTCGCAGGCTCTTTATACATATATATATATATATATATATATAATTTTGTTGACGGTGTGGATTGTCTTGCTGCTTGATGGAGGTTCGGCACCTTTCATGATTTTTTTTTCTGTTGCTGTGTTGCGGCCGAGTTACACAATGTAAACCTTTCGTTTGGTAATGTGTTGAAGGTGTGCACAAAACAAATGCTTGCTTTTCCCTTTCCTTTCTTGCTTCAGAAAAGCAACGAAAAATTGGTGGGCGGAAACATNACACAATGACAGAGGCCAAAAACTCCTCATTTCCCAGCGAGGAGATGATGGTGCGATTAATAGAGGAGCACCTGTGGTGTGGCTATGGGGATGTTGAAGCCGCTATCAGGCTTCCGTTAGAGGACGAAAATGCTACCTACCTGCGTGAAACGGTGTTTCCGACACTTGTTCCGGCGCTGTATGAATTACTGAAGCGTGAGCAAAAGCGAAACGCTCAGAGTGATGCATTTCCAGGACGTTTTGGAGCCACAGGGAATACACATGCGGTGATGTGGCTGGCGCAGTATCTTCTTCGAAACAACAAACAAAAGAGCGAGAACCTTTGCAGGCATCCGTATGTACTTGTCAACAACGAAGTCCTTAGAAAACAGAAAGAGGCTACAGCGAACGAAGAAGTTTTAGGACCTAGTGCCGTTTGCAGCTCTTCTCGCCTTTAGTTCTTTCTTATGCATTGCTGTCCTCATACCAAATGCCCTTTTTGTTTTTTTGGAATGCGGAGCGTTGTTGCTTTGAGTCATGTATTCTATCCACCCCTTTCATGGGAGCGTGAGTGAAGTATTTAGTGTTTTTTTTTTTACGTGCAACGAATCCTGATTAGCTGTTTTTCGCTTTATGTTGTTGAATAAAACATCTTGTCTCTTTGGCGTGTTTGGATGAAGCACTCTGTGTAGTGGGGAGTGCCTAGAGGGGGAAGAATTACATGGAGCTAGATCTGGAAGCGGTGTCACGAGCATTGGAGAGGCTTGTGGCGCCGTCTACTACCCACGATGGTCCATTCCTGACTGCGGGTCAACGCGCTGCGAGAACGGCTGCAACGAGAGGTAAGGAGCGGCATGCTACAAGCACCAGCATCAGGGGTGGTGTGAAGCAGGAGGAGTCCCAGGGAATAGTTTCCCCTCCAAAGAGGGTTACGGAAATGAGTGGAGGTACACGGGAAATTCTGGTGGATCCAAGTACAACAAAACGGCCTTTTCAGTCCAGGCCCCAACGGAAGTCTTCACCACTCCTTGTTCCATCGCCCTTCCAACTGCCATGCAGAGTAATCGAGGCAAGCGGTCTCGGAGCTTCTGCGGTTATGCTTGGTGGTTCTTTGGCGAACAAACACCATGAGGAAAAGGTATGGACAACTAACCTCTATCAAACTCCAAATCCGTACGTGGTACTGAATTGCCAACCAAAGAATTATCTGAAAAAGGAAGTCGTCTCCCACGTTGCGCCGACTACGGAATCTTTAGGTGTCCATATCGAGCGAATAAGGGACATCGTTATTTCCATTGCCTTTGACCGAATTCTGGAAGATTCAGAGGGACTGGATGTACCAGTTGGACACCTTGTCATATCATGCTCTAATCACCCACGCACAGGGTATGTCAGCGTTTTTCGTCTGAAGGATCTAAAGGGACTAATGATACGTGCTGTTGTTCCTGGAACTTTAGTGGGCCCCTTTTTGAAGTTGACACTGTTCCCAAAGGACACTGTTCGTATGAAAGTTGTAAGAGTGAGTGCAATAGAGTTGGCTCATGCAGACAGCTGGACAGAGCGTCGTATCATTGAAGAACCATTGGCCCTGGCGCCTGAAGAAGATGAGGCGGATTTCTCTGATCCTGTAAGGACAACACCTAAAAAAAGTAGAAAGAACGGCGAAGACCAGCATTCCCTCAAGAAAGATCAACCTGTACCGCCTCCAAAGAAGGATAATGAAAAGGATATATACTCTTCGTGTAACACTTCTGTTCCTATCTCCTCTGTGGGGAAAGTGCAAGAAGACACTGAGAGTGTTCTTGGTATTCGTGAGCCACACAATCCATCTGAAGCTTCAGAGCAGGTGGCCGCTGCGGCTGTACAAACAGTTACTGATGCTGGAGATACATTGAGTGGGAATTTAAGGGCAAAACAAGCACACAGCTCAGGGAAATTGACGGAGAAGATTGATACACATACCAAGGAGCAAGAGGACAAAGGAAAACTGGACACTGCCAAATATGAAAGTGAGTATTTGCCCAGGCCATTAGAATTATCGAAGCTAAATCCCGCTTCTCACATTCCAAACTCTGTGCATGGTTCGGCAAGAGGTCACCGTGACGAGGACGCTTCTATTGCTGCATCAATCCACCCTCCTAACGGTAGTGCGCAAAAGACACCCTTTTTGGACGATTCGGATCAGAGGGGTGTGTCAAAGGCTCTGATCGCATGGGGAATCAAGCGGCAGCTTCTTCAAGATGAAAGTGTGATGCGCTCCCTGAAGGAGGATAGTGATGGTGCGTGGGATACGGGTTCATATACTCTGCTTGGTGAGGATGGGACAAAAGAGATATGGAGTAGCAATTCCTGCTGCCAAAGTGAAAAGGTACAGTGCTCTTTGGAAACTTTACAGGCGCGGGGAGCCTGGAATGCCGTGAGTCACTGGAGTCGCTATGAGGCGTTGCTCGAAGCCATGACAAATTCGACAGCTTTCTGTGTTACAATTGCGAGCACATCTGATGAAGTGCTTGCCTCACTTCCCCAACCATACGGGCTACAGGTGCTGGTGGTGCTCACTGGTGGAGCACAAAGTCAATCATCATCAAGCGATGACTGGTTTGACCTCATGATGATGATTGCCAGGGGACAGAGGCGACGCGGACGCGATGCCGAACTAGTCTTTCGCATGATGGATGGCTTCGGTTGCATTTTGCAACCACGCCGCGAAGCAGAGAAGGGACGCCAGTGGCTTCTAGTCTCCGTACAAAGTGATCCAGCTGCTGTGAACGAGTGGGTGGTAGAAGCCCTCCGTGTTCATAATAAGCTCGCTCAAAGAACGCAGCCCTCTCGTAAACCTGGGTCAGAGGATTCCAGCTCACCCTCCATCAATAATGATGAACTGGAATCTTCACATCCACCGGTATTACGTTCAGTCCTTGATTTTGCGTGTCTTTTTGAGAGCCTGTTACCGGCGCTGCGTCCTTGGCTTGCTGAAGGTGCCATGTGTTACTACGGGGATGTGCAGCCGGCTCTGTGCCCCTTTATCGATGAGTGTGGGGTGATTCAACCCACGTGCTGGTTCCACTGCTTGCTGCAGGGAGTAGTGCGGTCTGTGCTGTTGTCCCTACCAGGTGCCGATGTATGGATGACAGCAAGAACAATGATGCCTGAACAGTCGAGTGTCATGCCGCCCACAGTGCGTAGACGGCTGGCATGCACAACGCTTCGCAGGCATATACCATTTTGTGCGGTGTGGCAGCCGCGTGCCAATGCGGTGAAGACAGTCTTGTGCAATGCGCATGTTCTTCACTACGCAAATCTCCTCAATGGTGTGATGATGGATAGAAGTGAACTCGCAGTTGCCGAGACACTTGTTCCCCACTTACGGGGTAAGTTTGTGCTACTGGAAGAAGACGGCGCATTGGTGGTGGGACCACCATTATTTAACACGAGCACTGTAGAAGGACCAACGGCTCCCACGGAAAGTTCAGAGACGACAAGTGTGCTGGCATTTCAGGTCTTGAGTACGGCACTCCGACGTTCCTGGGCAACTGTGGGCCTCGTGCTGTCAACGAGGACGCTGTTTGACGAAGATGCGTTTATGGACACAGTGTTTCGCTGGTCATATGCCCTACCGCGTGCCATTGTCCTCTTTTTCACAGAGTGTGAGAGTAGTGAGGCATCGCTGCGTCTTTCTGCCGGGTTTGTGGAGGCGTTCGCATCAGCCTATGACTTGCGGAGCGCATTGGCCGCATGATGCAATGTATGGAAGCACTTCCAAGAGTACGCTTACCTGATGACTGTGTTTGCGTGTATGTGTGGTGGGGAGCCAGCGTTCCACATACAGTTGCTCGCCTGCACATGCATTAAGACATACAGATATGTGTATATATATATGTGTGCGTGTGTGTGTGTGTGTGTGTGTGTGTGTCTGCGTGGATGTTTGGTCGTTTTTTTTTATCGGTGGTCGTTGTACATGTGATGAGAAGAGCTAGATATTGTGCTTTATCATTGTTGAACGTCGTCTGTGGGAAGACGCATTGTTTCGGCGTTTTAGCTTGTTTGCTCTGTGTAATACCCTTTATGATTGATGGCTTACCTTTTCTCTTCTTATTATTTTCCTGGTGTTTACTTTCTGCCACACTGTGGGCGACACAGAGAAGCGAGCAGATAAGCAACAAGGGCAACAAAAGGAACGACCTGAAAGATAATAACGTGGTAAGGTGTTAAGCAAGTAACAGAGAGAGAGAGAGAGAGAGAAATCTTTTCGTGTTTTGTTTTTTGTCTTCTTCTCATTGTGGCGTCGTGGAGAAATGGATAAGGNTAAGCAACAAGGGCAACAAAAGGAACGACCTGAAAGATAATAACGTGGTAAGGTGTTAAGCAAGTAACAGAGAGAGAGAGAGAGAGAGAGAGAGAGAAATCTTTTCGTGTTTTGTTTTTTGTCTTCTTCTCATTGTGGCGTCGTGGAGAAATGGATAAGGCACAGCTTCAACAATTGCTTGACAATTTACTGTCGGCAGATAATGCCGTTCGCAATGCTGCTGAAGCGGAGTACGAATCGCTCGTGCAGAGCAACGATGTGTGGATGATGTGCGGCCTGTCAGAGATTTGCGCTACGACGGAGAGCACGACGTTCATGCAGATGGGTCTGGTTCTGCTGAAGAAACTCTTTGGCAGCAAATCGGATTGCTTTGCGAAGTCAGATGCTCAGACCCAGGCGGGTGTGAAGGGATTGCTCCTACAGGTCCTGGGAAAGGCGGCGTTCGGCCCGCAGCGTGGATTGGCAGCTGCCTGCGTGAGTGCCTTGGCGGTCAAGTTACACGGTATGAATCAGGAGTGGGAGGAGCTTTGGCGGAACATTTTCCAGATCCTTGGAAATGTGGAATCACAGGGGGAACTCAAGCTCATCTGCTGCGAGATCATTGCTGCCACTGGCACCGTCATGGCCAACTACTTCACTGCTCACGTTGACAGTATTGTGGCAGGCATGAGGAATTGCCTCACTGACAAGTCCGTGGCAACGAGGAAGGGTGCCCTTGAAGCTGTTATTAGCATCGCCATGTGCGTGCCGGTGTCAAACCTCCAGCAGTTGGTTCCGTTGATGCTGCAGTCTGTACAGGACGCTCTTAATGAGTCTAACTGGGATGACGCGGAAAAGCTGACAGCAAAGCTCGCCGACGGTGTTGCTAACTCTGCCGCTCTCTTCGAGAGACACACCGGTGCGCTGCTGCAGGGACTGATGGAGGTTGCGTCGGCGCCCTCAGTGGCGCCAGGAGCCCGTCACATGGCGATTGAGACATTGGTGACATACTGTGAGAGCGAGCCCAAGACAGTCCGCAAGGTGCCGAATTTCTCTACGTCATTCCTGCAGCTCCTATTTCAGTACACACTGAACCCTGTGCTGCCGGACAACTGGGATAACATGGGCGTCAATGCAGACGAGGATGAGCTTGAGGAGGCCAGCGATGATGCTGTTGGATGCAGTGGTATTGACCGCGTGGCGTCGGCGCTTGGCGGCAGGAAGCTGGAGGCATTGGCGCAGCAGCTTTTTTCGGAGAACATTCACTCAACCGACTGGAAGCGACGAAACGCAGCCATTCTTCTTATTACTTATGCCGCAGAGGGAATGGTGCCTGTTCTTGAAAAGCATTTGGAACACATCGTTCCAGCTGTGGTGCCTGCACTTCAGGACGAGGTTAAATATGTCCGTGCAAGCGCGTTGGATTGTCTCACTCAGCTCTCTTGTGATTTTGCGCCACGCTTGCAGGAATCTTTGTGCCACTGCGTTCTTCCAGGGGTCATGGAGTGCCTCAAGGACAGCGTCCCTGCTGTTGCCACACGCGCCGCACGCTGCATAGACTCGTTTTTTGACAGCTGTGAGGGAGAAAATGACGATGATGATGGTGATAACAAAGAGGCCTTGATTCACTTGTTTGAGGGCTATATTGAAGGCCTGTGTGTGTCGCTGGTAACATTGCTGAGGCAGACTTCACATCAATTCCTGCGGGAAGACTGTCTCGGTGCCCTATCCTCCGTCATATCGACATGCAAGGGCCTGTTGAAGCCGTATGTCAACCATCTTGTCCCTGTATTTCAGGAGGTGCTGGCGATGCCGGAGTCGCCAGAAACCGTTACGATGAAGTGTAAGGCTATTGAGTGCACCACGCTCTTGGCGTGCGGTGTGGGGAGGGACTGTTTCGGCCCGTACGCACAGGAGATGTGCAACTATCTGCGCGACCTCCTTGAACACATCGCAGGGGGAACGAAGAACGACGATATGCGCCTCCGGTATGTTCTTCGCGGCTGGACGTGCATGACAGAGTGCCTCAAGGAGGATGTGGTGCCCTACATGCAGATTGTGATGCCAGTGCTCATTTCCATGATGAACGTGGAGTGTGACACGCAGGTGGAGAACGCCGAGGTTGGCTGCGATGACGACGAGAATGACGACGACGAACACGAGAAGGATGTGACAACGATGCGTGTGGTGGTGCCTGGTGTTGGCGTTAAGAAGGTGAAGGTGCACACGGGCCTCATCGAGGAAAAGGACCTTGCCGCCAGCGTCGTAAGTGCCATGCTGACCTACGTCGGCAAGCACCTCGGATCGCACCTGCACCCCATCACGGAGTCTGCGGTGCGGCTGCTCGACTTCCAGTCCGACTCCTCCATCCGCGAGAGCGGGGCGTTGATTTTAGACGGCGTGCTTGACGCGTGCGAGCCGGCGGAGCAGGCGCATCTGGCTGCCATCGTGCTGCAGCCGCTGCTGAACCAATACGCGGAGGAGGATGACTTGGAGGTGTCGAGCGCCATGTCGGTGGTGATTAGTCGCTGCATTGACTGCGCACCGACTCTTGTGTCGCCCGACACGGTGGCGGCGATCGGCGAAAAGGTGCACGGCGTGTTGGAGCGCGCGATGGGGGATCGCTCGCAGAGCCTACAGTCCCAGCGCGAAGAGAACGACGAGGACGAGCTTGACCGGCTGAAGGAGGAGGAGGAGGAAGCCGACGCTCTCATCCGCGACACGTGCGAGCTCCTCGAGAAGATGCTCGAGCGCGCCGGTTCCGTCTTTGCGCCGGTGTTCATGTCGACGTTCTCACAGGCGCTGGAGATGATGCTGCGGGCGGATGAGAAGGACCAAATGGTGTTGTGCGGCATCGGCTTGCTCTGTAGCCTCGTCGAGCACACGCCAGACCACGTCACAGGCTTTATTCCGACAATTGCGATGAGTGCCCTCAACTTCGCTCGCAGGCGCACCGACCCGAGCGTGATGCAGTCCTCTTTCTACCTCATGAACCTGCTGCTGCAGTACTACGAGCGCCGCGCCAACCCATCCGGGCCGGATTTTGCCAAGCAGACGCTGGAGATCTTCTCGAATTACACCGCCGTCCCGCACGACAAGAGCCACGAAGGCGCCATCTGCAACGCCGTCAGTATGGCCGTGACGTTGCTCACGCTGTACTGTCAGGCAATGCCGGCGCCGCAGGTCGCACAGACGCTGGATCGCGTTATCAGCTGCCTTCCTGCTGGCGGCGATGACGTGGAGGCATGCCGTCTTCACGAACGTGTGCTGATGTGGGTGGTGCAGACGCACCCGCTGCTGCAGGGCAACGCCGAGCACGCCAAGAACATTGTCATGCGACTCAAGACGGCGGGAGCGGATGTGTTGAACAAGTCCACGCAGGACCAGCTGGCGTACATGTGAGGAGCCAAGGAAGAGGAGGAGGAGGAGGAGGAGGAGGGACGTGGTAAAAAGTGGGCGAGAGCAGCAGCAGCAGTAGTAGCAAGAAGAAGAGCAGATGCACCAACGGAAAAAAATAAGTAAATAAAGAGGAGAATAGGCAAGTCGAAGAATACGTGCATATATATATATATATCAGTTGTCTGCTTCCTCCGTTACTACCGTTATCCCTGCTGAGGTTGCCGCCGTTGTCGTCTGCCAGTTTTACGGCACTCCTCTTTTTTTTATTGTGTTCGGTTCCGGCTGCGCCCACCTTGGCTCCAGGGACCACTCCGCGGTGTGGGCATGCGCAGGTGTGGAGCTGTGTACACGCAAAGGGGGAGCGAGAGAGAGAGAGAAAGAGAGAGGCAAAACAGAAAAGAAAGTAATAAAGATAACAACAGCAATTATTCTCGAAGAAGCGACCAAACATTCATTTTCTTCACTCCCCCCCCGCCCCCGACACAAAGACGGAAGAGAAATGGGTGGAGGGGGAAGGAAACCTGAGTGGAGTCCCGTGCCGTCAATTAGTTCCGACGAAGTGAGACTACAGCGTCATGGGAGCCACGCTCAGCTCCACCACTGTTAAATAATAACACGCAAGCAGAGTTAAGGCAATGGAGAAAGTGAAATGGGGGGTGTCTTTGACCCTTTCTGTTTCTGAAAGTCTATATTGCGTGTTTGTTTGTGTCTACCCGCCGGGAATTTGCAGATCGCACACCCATGAAAAAAAAAAAAAGAGGGGGAGGGGATCGGAGTGAGAATTTTCCCCCGCAAATAATTCTGCAGCTACGAATAAAAGCATCTTCAGCAGTACTTTTTATCTCCCCGATCACAGGCAAAAACACAAAAAAAATGATGCGTGGTGCTAACGGAAGGGCAATAGTTAAATACAGAACCCACACATCCCTCCTCCCTGAAGTGGAGGAGTGGGATGTTCGTAGTAGTCCTTTTCCCCTTCGCTCTTGTTGCTGTTTCTCCTGCTTCTCCTGCTGCTTTCGTCATTTTTGACAGCAACATGTGTGAGTGCAGGTTTCTCTTTGTGTTCTGGGGCTTACATTCGTAGCGTTCTTCTCTATCTCGTTCTTGTTGTAGTTATCCAAGGCGTGCCTCTTGTTGTTGGCACGTCTCTAAGATCCCACATCAACCCACAGGACGTATTTCTGTGGGCAAGTGAGTGAGTGACTGCGTATTGGTGTTATCGAGGTAGTGAGATATTAGCCTTTTTAATTTGTTTGAGGGAGGAGGTTGGTGGATTTTACGCATTTCATCGGTGACGACAAAGACGTGGCCGTGATGGGTGGCAACTCGAGTCGCGAGATGATGAGCCCGTACGCGGTCAACACACCGCTCATGGGGATTTGCTTCACATCGCTGCTGTTCAATAGCGTTCAGGGGGGAACCCTGCGGTCATCGAATGTGTTCAACAACTTCATCCTCATCTACCTGCTTGGCTTCTCGACGGGGTGTTCGACTGTCCTGCAGCAGCCGGTATGGGGGGCGAGGCTCGGCCTTCTCGCCTCATTCTGCTTCACCTTCGGCCCCAATGTGCGGCTCCTGTATACACAGCGCTTGTTCCCCGACTACGTGCGCTACGGCATCGGGACGGCGTACATGACGTACCACGCGCTTCAGTGGTACAAGGAGGAGACTTACTTTGAGGACGCGATGGAGGATGATGACGGCAAGTGACGTGGTGCCGCCGTTCCTGCAGCAGGTACGTCTGTGTCTCTCTGTGTGTCTGGGAAAGAGACGGCGAGACAGAAGAAAGGGGGGGGAGGCGAAGGGGCAATATGGGCATCTCGTTGTGTGTCCTCACAGCCACGCCCATTTCACGTTGTTGTTGTTATGTTTTTGCTTTTCATGCGTGGACAATCTTTGCAGTGAGGAATTACTTCTGTTTTTTTTTGGTTTGTTTTTGATTTGCTTTGCTGGTGGGTGCGCTGTTCTCGGCACTATCTCGCGGCTTCTGCGATACGAGTGTGTGCTTTGGTGCTCGCAGCAGTAGCAGCAGCAGTGGCTCCGAAAGAAGTAAGTGTTCTCCTTATTACAAGCAGCAATGTCGTCTTTGCACTCAACCAGCGTCTTCTTCACGAGCGTCCCGCTCTTCGTTGAGGAGCACAGCCTGCGCAAGCACTTCGAGAGTGTCGGCCACATCACCGACTTCCGCTTCCTAGGGCCGACGCCGGGACGCGACTTCCGCTACGGCTTCGCTGACTACTTGGATGTCACCAGCGCAGAGGAGGCCATTGCGCGCCTCAACGGCACGTCCTTCGGCGAACGTACAATGAAGGTGATGTCCGCCGCGAACTCGCGGAGCCGGAAACGACACCGTCAGCAGGCGAGCAGCACGCTTGAGCCACCGGTGCGTGGCGGCCTGGTTTTCCCGCGCGGCTACGTTGACCCGCTGCTTGGCCGCGACGACACGAGTGTGTTGGAGAGCCTGCACTCCACGCCCGTCTCGGAGGCGTACGAGGCGGTGGAGCAGCTGCGTGTTCTTGTGCTGGAGCGCAGGGCGGAGGCGCGCAAGCTGCTGGAAAGCTGCCCCGCGCTGCGCCTCGCCGTCGTAATGATTCTGCAGCACGCTGGCCGCCTCCCGTACGGACCGTTGCCGCCAGAGGCTTTGCAGCACCCGTCGAGCGAAACGAGCAATGCCACACCGGCAGCTGCGCAGGAGGCGGAGGCGGTGACGGGGGTGCCCGCGGAGGAGGAGCGTGACGAGGTTATTGAGATACTCACAAAGCTCAGTGAGGAGGAGGTGGAGCGTATTATGACGATGAGTGATGCAGATCTCAATCGCATTCCTGACCTTGCTCAACGAGAGCAGATGTCGCTTCTGCGGGCCCGCTTGGTGGAGATGGCGGGCGACCTTGACTGATATTTGCTCATCTGCTCGTGTTGTTGTTGGTGGTAGTGGTTGTTTACGGTGGACCAATAAACCGTCAGCTTGTTCGATACCGACATTCTTGGTTCTGCCATGCGTAGCCCTTTTGCGTACGCATTGCTGGTATACATGGGTCTGTGGAATAAGGCGAGTTTTGTGGGTCGTGGCAGTGAGTGAATGTGCAACTTTCCTTGTTTCGTTCCATTTTCTTCACTATTAATGTGCCCACAATGAGCACAAGAAGTGAAATTGGTGATCTGACCATTTCCGGTAAGTATAGTGTAGGTTACCAGTTGCTGTGTGCGTGCGTGTGTGTGTCCACCAGTGCTGCCCGCTGCGAGCCTGTGTGGGTGCGTGTGCTGTATGGGGTGCCTGAATCATAAAATTATCAGGCAGCACGTTGAAGGAGAAAATAAGTAAATTAAAGGAGAAGACGACGTGAAATGGGTGCACGAAAGAACGGTCAAAGTCAGGAACCGTACCGTGTGGCGTTTCAAGACTCCTCAGATGATGAACAACACACGCAGGTGGCGGAGATCGTGCCCGTGATTGGGGGTGATGGCCCCCTTACCCCAGTGGCTGCGTCAGGGACCGAGCAGCAACAGCAGCAGTCATGGCTGAATCGTGCGTTGGGTGGCGCGGGGACGTTTTTCACCTCCCTCCTCGTGGACTGGTCTGGCACTGGCACCAACGAGCCGTTCGATATGGCGCGGGTAACCCCAAGTCCCTCGTCCGGCAGCGGCCACTGGGGCTACGGAGGAGGCCGCGATACGCCACAGCGGATGGAGGTGGAGTCGGTAGACCCGTCGGAGGACATCGCAGTAGATCTGCGGGAGGTGATCCTTCAGTACAGACGCACACCGGACGAAGTCTACCTGCGCATAATTCTCGCTGCGCTCTACTTTGGCGAAGTACAAATCAACGGTGACGTGCTGCGTGCCGCTGCTGGTAGTCGCGAACTCATTATGATGCTGCTTAAGTCGGACAAGGTGAACGTGGATGACCTCGACGTGCAGCAAATAATCCAGGCGGAGATCGACGCCGTCATGGTGCCCGCCCTAGCGTGTGGCAGCAACATTGCGCAGGACACGGTCAGCTACCTTGCTTTGCTGTGCCGCGTCCCCAGCGCGACACTCACAAAGGAGCAGGTACGGCTATGCCACAATGCCGGATTCGACTTTATTAAAGTGCTACACGAGAACCCCCACGTGCTGCGCAACATATCACCACCGCGCTGGATTGTGGCGCGTTTCTTAGACATCTGCTACATCCTCGACATGGTCATGACATGGTTTGGGCTCATCGCCACATTACTGGGCCTCATGTGTGTTGCGTGGCTAATATACTTCTGGATATCTAACGACTACCCAAGATGTGGGTACTGGACGATTCTCTGCTACGTGATTGGCTACGTTGTGAGCATTGTTGTGGTAATGGTGTCGGAACAAGGTAGAATACGCGACTACGAGGATCGCCTCTGGGATTATCCCGACAACACTTTGAAGGTCGTTCCATGTATTCCGGTCTTTGAGATTGCTCTCATGTACGTTACGCTGCGGTACGAGCTGCTTCGTGAAAATGGGAGGTATTTCGTTATACGCTATGACCTGTACAATGGCTTGTCGAATGTGCTGATAATCCATACATTCTTCTTCGCAACACCGCAGTTGCTCGTGCAGTACTATATAAGTCGCCTATATGAACCATCCTCCTTGGACTTTATTGGTTACAAACTTCTCGTTGGTGTAAATTATGCGCTGTATGGAATGTCAATGTACATCTTCCTGCGGAAGGTTCTATTTAATTACTCGTGCAATAGCTACGGGTTCGCCGTGGTGGCCCTGAAGCAGGCACCGGTTATGTCCGTCGATATCACTACCCGAATTCTCATCGTCATGACCGTCTTCTACCTCGAGTGTAACGTCGTTGCCGTCATATTGTCTATTTCTTTTATCAAGTCATGCGAGGTGCTGGAAATCATACTTATCAGCGTTGCAGCAGTTGTGACTGTGTTGAATATTGTGGGATTAGCGATGACACTCATTTTTGACATTCCCAAGCTAATTTGGGTTGTGGCTCTTATCGCACTGTTTATGCAGATTGCTTATAGCGCCTTTGTTGCCCAAATGGGATCGCAGGACATTAGCGCGACGTGTACATTGTTCGCCATCAATGCCCCTATAGTGTCATCCTTGACGTATGTGACATTCGGGTTCTTTTGCGTATCTTTCATTGCGTGGGTTGTCGTGCTGATTTACTCGGAACTGACAGGGAGAAAGAAGGTCGTGCAGTGGGACAACTATCACAACTGGTCGCGGGCTAGGTGAGACACAACAACGACGGGCTTCCCAGGTGTATTCTTTTGCGCTGCTATGTGTATCTCGGCCTCTCTGTGTGACTCTCTGTCTGTCTGTCTGTGTGTGTGGAGTATGCTTGGTAGAGGTGTGTGTTCTTTGTTGGCCTTTGTGTATTTCCGTTCCCCCCTCTGTGTAGTCACCAGCGTATATGGTGGCCTTCTTTCATGCATGTGTACGTCTGTTGTTTCACCTTGCCTTTTTGCCTTTCTTCTCGTCCTTTCCCTGTCTCTCTCTCTCTCTCTCTCGCCATCTGTCTGTCTTGCTTGGTCTGTAAAGCTCTTCTTTTTCTTTCTGGGAGTGACAGCGGGACTCCTTTGCGTACGTCTTCGGTGCGCGTGTGAATGCGTAAATGCGCACGCTACGGGTCGCCGGCCGTGGAATTGGGCGGAAGCAGCGGCAACCACAACGCCAGCAGCAGCCCAGTTCAACACTACAAAGAAGAATCAGGACTGGCGGGAACCCAAACACCACCTATGCGAGCAATAATGTCTCTCGACACACAAGATTACGACGTGCTCGCCGTCGATGTAAAGCTTAGTGACCAAACACGGTGCATACTCGACTTCACCGAGAGCCCGTACGTGGGGCGGCTGCTGTCGATGCCACAGCCGGTCTCACTCTCCTTTGGCACCGCCGCCACAGTGCGGGAGCTGAACAAAATTGTCGAACTCCGTCGACGCGCAATGTCAGCCGCAACCGAGCACTTTGAAAAAACGCGCAGCGCGTGCGGCGATGGAGGAAAAGGCGTTGCGGCGCGCCACAAGACTGTGGGAACAGTGACAGCGGATGCGGAGACTATTACTACTACTACTACTGCTGCTGCTGCTGATGATGATGATGATGCAGATGTCGCACAAACCACAGAGGAGCCGTCTTCATGTGAGCACAATGCACTGCGGGCGTATGTGCGACAGTTGTCGGAAAATCGGGAACTCTTCATGGGCGTGGTGGAGCTCACGGCACGCCTTGAGATGGAGCAGACACTGGACATTCTATGCGCAGAGTTCCGCCGCATTTACAGCGCGGAGGTGCGGTGCAAGTTTGACATTAGGCTTCTCTCTCTTCAGGAGCACGATTCTACTAGATTGCGAGCGGTGTACGACTTCCACGAGGCGGCCATTCGCGCTTTTGCGTTGGACGCCAAAGCGAAGGCGTCTGTGCACAACCCGCAGCAGCAGCAGTATGCATTGCTCCCCTCCTCCTCTTCCCACACGGTCGCTGAGCCGTTCGTGGATTCCAGTAAGGCCCCTGAGCTGGCACGGCAGTGGCACCGGCAACTGGCAAAGGATTGCTACTTCTTCCCACGGAGACCGCAGCTGGGCGAGTTGACGCAGTCCGCTGACTTTGGCATCTCTGCGCTGCAAGATAAGTCCTGCTTCGACGAGACGTTCGCCACTGCCCTCCCGCGGCACCCGTTCCAGAACCCCACGTGGGAGCCCGACGACGCGGCGAAGGCATGTCCGGTGTGCGGTGTCGTCTTCGCGTCGTGGTCGATGCTGACATTCGACGTTGTGCGTGCAAGTCACTGNGCCGTATCTGCGCATCGTGCACATCGTGGCAGCTGGACCGGTCGATTGCACGGCTCAGTAAACCGGGCGGTCCAGAGGAGGGCCATCTGCGGCGTGTGTGCAGGGAGTGCTACGATCGGGTGGAGCAGCTCAACAAGCATACGTTTCTCTGCGAGGTGTTTGTGCGCGCCGGGCTGACGGTGGCGGACCTCGCACTGCTGCGCACCGTCAATCCGCGGTGGAGGGGCGCGGCGGAGCTGTGCCTCGGCGACTACCGGTCGTCGCTCTACAAGCGCGCGCCGCAGGGCTCCGTTGCCGCGCGGCAGACTGCCCGCGTGCTGGCGAGCAGCGCTGACATCATCGTCGGCCACCCTGAGCCGCTCATTCTTTTTCTCGCCTCACTCGATTGGGGTGAGCCCACGCTCCCCACGGCTGCACAGGTCACCATCACGAAGACAGCGGCGGNGCCTCACTCGATTGGGGTGAGCCCACGCTCCCCACGGCTGCACAGGTCACCATCACGAAGACAGCGGCGGGCGTGGCGCAGCAGCAGGATCATCACCACCATAGTGCACGCTCAGGGGTGCCGGCCTGGAAGCCGCCGATAAGCCACTGGCACCTTCTCTGCACGCGGGCGTGCGGTGCGATGCTGCCAGCCTTCTTTGCGATCAGAGTGCTCGAGTGTCTGGACCGCGCCCCAGGGGGGAACCTCTGCGCTGAGAAAATGCGCACAATCGTGAGGGACAAAATATTGCTCAAGAAGAACGCATTCCTTGATCGTCGCGTCCGCGAATGCGTCGTTCCGCTCTTGTTGGATTTGTTTGATCGGAAGTCGTGCGAGCCACACGCCACGCGGGTACTACTAGAGATCGCCGCACAGGACCAGCGCCTTGCGCTCGTCATACACCAGGACACACTGACACGCAGCGAGCATGACAGTTTGAGCTACCACACACTGCGCGAGCTCGTTCTGAAGGTCGATGCCGGCAATAGACCGGACACACACCAAAAGTTCTTGAATACCATTCGCTTCCTTAGCGTTCTGACGGCGGTGTGGAAGAATTCCGTGCGCCCAGTGGAGGCTGCCGACTTACGCGCTGCGTTTCACGAGCAGCTGGAGAAGGCGGGGCTCATAGCGGATGTTGAAAGAGACGAGCAGAATGCTGCACCAGAGGTGAGTGGAACTGTTACTCTGAAGCCGATGTTATTCCCATTCGATACCGACGTAGTGGTAAGAAGTATCAACTTGAACGGCATTGTGATCGTGAATTCGAAGCAGCGTCCTGTCTTGCTTCCCCTCATTGACGTGGGCGGTGCCACGCGGCGTATCCTCTACAAGAGAGAAAACCTTGAAAAGGACAAGGTAATGTGCATAATGTCGAGGTTGCTCCAGTGGGTGCTGCACAAGCAGCTGCGTCAGGTAGTGTTGCCGACGTATCACGTCATTCCGCTCTCGGGCAACTCCGGCATTATTGAGATTGTAGAGGAGGGACAAACAGTGCAGCACGTCATCGAGCGATACACGGAGCGTCGTCTACTAAAGTATCTTGCAAGTCTGGGGCATCAACAACCTGGGCGAAAACAACGGCAACAGCAGCCGCAACAACAGCAACCGAGCCACGCCATGGATAATCAGCTGCCGACACGAGTCCCAACGCCCGAAGTCCGCCAGAGCTTCCTTTGCTCAGCTAAGTTCTTCATTCTGATGAATTACATCTTTGCAATTGGTGATCGACACCGTGACAATGTTATGATACACCCAAGTGGCGCCATCTTTCACATTGACTTTGGCATGCTGCTGACCACACGGACGTTAGCGGAACGAGTTACCACGAGTTATGTGCGCTTTGATCTTGACCTAGAGGAGTGTGTGCTAGAGTTCATGCGGGACCGTGAACAATCACCACCACCACCACCGCATCATCATCATCATCATCATCATCATCATCATCATCAAGAGCAACAAGAGGAACAACATTATCATAATCCTCAGCGTCAGCAAAAACAGAAACAAAAACAAAAACACCGAAATGTGTCGGATGCGTCAGCAGCGGAAGCCGCGGAGAAGCCCAACGATCCCCTTTCCATGTTTCTGATGGAGACCGCCGACTGGTTTCTTGAGGTTCGCCCGTACGCCAGCATGATCTTTCAGCTGCTATCGCACGTCGTCCATCGGTCAGCGCTCGACGGTGTGGCCTCTGTCGATGTGCTCGCGACACTGATGCAGACAATATTCATGTGTGACTCATCAGAGGCGACGTGCAAGGCGCTTTTCTGCGACCGCGTGAAAAGGTCGCGGGGTCAGACATGGCTGAAAGACTTCACTCATGACACACAGAAACGAACTTGGAGTATTTTGTCGCAGGGATTCAGGTGGATGCGGGAAAAGGCGGGAATTGACCGCAGTGAATTGTAGGACTGATGCGATTTGGTGCACACCATTTTATTCTTGCGCGGGACCCCAATCAGGAACAACAACAATAATAAGAAAAGCACAACTGGGCAAGTATGTGCGTTGCTGGTATTGTGCATGCAGTGACGGGGTGTCCAGTTGTTGGGGATTTGAGGAAGCAACTTCCATGCTACTTCTCACCATGCTCTTGCATTCGTTTCGTTTCCGTTACCTTAAAAGTTTTTTTTTCTATGTTTTTTTTTTCTTTTTTTACTTTTAACACGAAAGTTTACTTTTTCTTTTTGTCGTAGTGCTGTAGTGGTGTACGTGAGTCTTCGTTCCTTTCTTCGACACGTACGCCTTCAACCCCCTGAGATTCGCCCAGCTGTGCCGGTTTCACTCCCTCTTCTTTTTCACAAGCACATTAACAAATGCTACTACCGATGCTTTGATGCTGCTTCCTTTCGTCTCGCTGATAACGCCTTGGTGGGCCTGCCTTCTCCGCCCTCCCCCTCCCCCAGCCTCCGCTTCATTGATCGCCAAGAAGAAAGGGTAGTATTCGGGTATGAACGGGTTGCCTACGGTAGTGCCGGTGAGCACTACCAGTGGCGGTGTTTCTCCTGCTGCCACAACTCCGTGCGTGAGGGTGAAGACGACGTTCGAGACGCTACATTCGTTCTCAGATCTTCGTAAGGCGCTGAATACGCTGTATGGCGGCGGTGTAGATGGCTCTCAGAGTGTCTCGCGGAGGAACATATTGGGTTTTGGTGCATCCACCAGCAACCGTGACGCTGTGGGTGCTGGCAAGCGACTGCTGTGTGTGTGGGATGTGGACGACACACTTGTCAGCTCCGGCACCCCTGGCGTGCGCCAGTGCCCTGTGTTCGACGAGAGCGAGCTTGCGGGCCTTTTTAGAGGCATCTGCGCACGGCACCTGTTTCTGTCGCAGGGAAGCATTGATGACGTTATGGATCCCGGTGGCGGTGGAAAGCTGCAGTATCTCGTGCCCTTTTTTCGCCAGGATGGTGCCACCAATGAGTACGCCGTCCCTTCCAAGGCACGTGCGGGCTGCTGCTGGAGTAGCGCTCTGCCGGACAGGAGTCGAACAGGGGCGCGGTGCGCGGCGGAGAGAGACGCGGCAGTGGTAGTTGTCCGCATCGCCACGCTGCGTGCCCCGTTAGAGAAGCCTGGTGACTCGCGCATGTTCCTCAGCGAAGACGTGGAACCGCCCCGGTGTCCAAGCGACGTGCGCTGGCTGGTGATGCGGCCGTCGCTCTGGGGCATCTCGCTCGCGAGTTTGTCGAACTTTATCGCACCGTCGTCTCATACCGCCTTCCTCGACGGATCCGTCTTCCACAAGATGGACGTGGTGCGGTCGCTGGCGGCGAGTGGGCATTGGGATGCGGTCTTCTTCATCGACAACGACCTCACGGAGGTTGGCGTGGTGCGGCAGGGCTTGGACATTGACGACTTCAACCGCATGAAGAACGTGGACAGATTGCCGCGCTTCTTTTTGGCGGATCTGCTGCTTCTGGAAGTTTCTACTATGCTGGCGGAGAGGGAGAGGGGGCGGCACGACGCCATGCGGAAAACTAACGGCACGTGTGTGGAGCAGTCGCTGAGTGACAGCAAGGAGCGCTTGAAGGAGTGTTGCAACAATATCGTCAGCTGTGAAAGACTCGAGGCGGATGAATTGCCCTCAATGAACGGTTACGGTGACGCGACGACCTCACCGGATCCACGTGGGGAGGAGGAGCGTGTGGTAGAACTGTTTGTAGCGCATCTTCACCTAGACCAGGCGAAGTACCGACGCATTACGAAGGTCAAGCATAACGGTGTCGCGCATAACGAGAAGGAGCTTTGGCACCCGACACTGAGAACAGGGCCAGTGTGCACAGATGATGACTATGAAGAAATGGTTGCTGAGTTTAACGTGATTAGGGGGAAGCTATTGCAGGACCTCGCTAAGTCCACAGTGGACTTGACGCCAGTTCCCGGCTGGGAGCCTAGCATCAACGCTGTGTGCTACCCAATGTACGAGCGCCCGCAGCGCCCCCCAACCTTGCGCCACCAGTACTACGACGTCTGCCACCAAATCACGACGAACCTTGTCGAGCCGCTGACTTCGAGGTCTGCGGTGTCGCAGGAGTACGAGCTGAAGAAAGAGGCGAGGAATCTCTTCAGGCGGCTCATCCGTCGGCAGCCGGTGATTGACCCACTGTGCATTGTGGAGGTCGCGAGCACATTATTCACAGCCTATACAGCTGAGCGGCGTCTGCCCAGAGGCATCGCAGAGATGCTGAGGAAGAACATAACGGCCCTTGCAGGATCATAGCGGAGGTAGCAGCAATACCGACAATATCGGCATCGGTGGCCGGTGCATAAACACACGCGAAGATGTGTGTCCAGCCCGTGAAACACACGCGTACAGTCACAGATGTACATACAGATGGATGACAGGACTTCGTGACAAATGCAGTATATAGGGTAACGAATACGAAGAGCAAGACATATGGCAATTGAATAACAAATAAAATACACCAATAATGGGTTTGTTGTGTTTTGTTTGCTATTTGTTGTCCCATTTTCGTCCTTTAGTGGTTTTGGTTTTGTTGCGTTGAAGAGGCACACTGTTGTGCGCCTTGACTGAACAATACAAAATATTCCTTCCAGTCGTTTCTGGCGAGTTCTAAATGCCTGTGATGATGACGGGGAAGGGGATGTGGAAAAAAACAACAACAACAAAAAACAAAAAAAAAACAACTGTGGAAAGAAAACTACATGAGGAAACTGAGGAGAACGAAACGGAATATTCGATAGTATTATGTTCACATTAGGCCAGAGCCTTCCTTTAATAAATTTCTCCTAGTAGGTTAAAAGATATACAATGCATATAGCGCGATGATTTACACTTTTCTTTGGGCGGCCCTCACACTTGAGTCTGTTTTTTCTGGGTCCTTGGTGTCATGCTCCACTTTGTTCACACTCAGTAGCAGAAGCACAAAGTAGTACAACTAGTGGTGGTGGTCTAGGCAGTAGAAGCGGCCGTGAGAGCAGCATCAGGGAAACCTGAAGACGACAGACAAAGAGCGATCTGTCTGTGTCTGCGTGTTATAGTAGCCCCGTGAGGGGTGAGCTGAGGCGTACAGACAGACATGGAGACGACGCTCCGCACGTTCTGTGTCATTCCACACGAGGCACGCGATGATGATTTCTTTGACGCCGTTTTTGAGGATGGCGTGCGTGCAGTGCAACACGGCCGCCTGCATTCCTTGTTCTTTTCCCATGTCCTGAGTCCAGCACACGATATCGCTGGGCACGTGATTGGGCCGCTGCTGTCGCGGGTGCGTCAGGGCGGCAATGCCGTGCTCATTGTGGCACTGCCTGAGGAAGACCACGACGGCTATGACAACGTCAACGGCGGAAGCAGCGAGACGGATGCTGCGAGTGATGGAGTGACGTCCGGCGAGAAATTGGATGTTGCCTTGGATCTGTATGCACAACTTCTGCCGCTGCTATTCCAGAGCGCGGAGCGGTGCTGCTTCGCGCGGGTGTCGGTTGTCAGCTTTGCTGTAAAGGGAAAGCGAGTGTATGACGTGCTGCAGCGCTGCGAGGTGCGTAGCGAACGACAGGCACAGTATCAGCTGATTGAGCGCGAGGGCTCCTCCACACGGTGGGGCACGATCATGAAGTTGCTACACGAGCGGCATGATCAATTAGAGAGCGCCAATGTCCTACCGAAGGAGTCGGTGCTGGTGGTGCGCGTGGAACTGGAGGGGTACGGCGCCGCTCTGCTCGCGGAGGTCGGCTGCGGCCGAGAGACGCTGCACCAACTGACGCTGCTGCTGCGAAGTGGGGGCGCGTGTGGTGCCAAGACATACCCACCGCGTGGTCCGCTTTCCAGCGTGCTGCGTGACGTCGTGCCACCAGCGGCGTTGGTGCACGTTGTTGGCCTTCCCGATCCCGCGCCGTCGCCACGTGGAACGATGCGCCTGCTACGTTTCCTCTCTGGTATGTGTAGCGCGCCAGCGACAGGGACAGCAGCAGCAGCAGCAGCTTCAGAAAGTCGCCCAACACAGAGCGATAATGGCAAGGGGCTCATGCAGCGGTCTGCGACTCGACACTCGGATACGCACACGGAGTTGAACGCAGCTGCGGGCGCCAGGAGGCGGTTGCATCCCTGCGTATGGGGCGAGGATTTGTTCGTGGATCCGTCTCACTGCATAAACACACTACCTGGCCGATCACACAACACTTCCGCTGCGGTTGCTGCCACTACACCTGTGTGGGACTGGGGAGCTGCTCGGGCGGAAGAGCCGCTGCGTGGTTCCGTTACGAATGCGCAGTCGTCAGGGTCAGGTGCTGCAGAGGACGGCGGCGCAGTGGGCGCCGTACCACATACTTCGAGAGAGCAGACCCTGGTGAGCAGGACGGTGGCACTTGAGCGCACCAACCGAGAACTTGTGGAAGCTTTGTCAGATGCCAGGAATCAGATTCAGCACTTGCAAGGGCTGCAGCAGTCGTCCCAGGAGGCTCTTCGTCAGAAGCAAGACGCCCTTCTCGCCGCGACAGCGTCGAGTCAAAAGGGAAGGGAAGAGAATGCAGACTACGCGAAGCTGGTGCCAAAGTTGCTTCGCAAAGTTAAAGAACTTGAAAAGGAGCGAGACGCATTGCAACAATCCTTGAAGGACCGAGAGAACCAAACTAGCGACTTGCAGCAAACTAATCACCGACTACAGGAACAATTGCAGAGGCTTCAGAGAGAGGTGAAAGTGCTTGAAAAAAGAGAAACCCAACGTCTTAGAGAGCACGCTCTAAATCGCATTGGGTCAGGAGAGGAGGAAAAAAGACCTCTCAGGAGTCGGGCAAACAAGCCCACATCCCCGAGGCGAAGGCGCAGTGGGACTACCTCGCCGATGACCGATACTGGTAAGCACTTAAGAGCTGGCGGGGCGCCATCAACGGAGGGTGGCTCTACGCTTCTCAACGCGATTGCAGAGCTGCGACAGCGCAACACATCACTGGAGGCGGAGGTACAGGAACTTCGACAGAGAAGACCTGCGGTTGATCCTGTTCCCGGCAGGGGCACTGTAGACGAGGCAGCAGGCGGCGAACACGCGTCGCAGTGCCCGATGTGTGAGACGATGAGACATCACCTCCGCCAAGTCTCCGAGGAGCTGGACCGAAGCTGCATGGAAAGGGAGCGCCTCCAATCATTGCTTGCCGATCGTACTGTTGCGTCGTCACATGCCCCGGCAATAGCACGCGATGCCGTCAGTGTGGTTGCCACTTCCCTCACGGCTGGGTGTGAATCAATGCGAGTGCAGTTAGAGCACCTCGGGGCAGAGGCGACGCGGCGGCACGTGCAGCAGAGTCTTCGCGACGGCGTGTTCCGCGAGCACGTGGACGCTGTGGCGGTGCTAGAGGCGGCGGTGCATGACATTGGTGGCCGCCGGTATCGTGGAGTGGAGGACTACGAGCGTATTGTGCCGTCGCGCGCCACCGCGGCGGAGGCGGAACTCCTCTCAAGCCTTTTGCTGTTTGAGGTGGAGCGCTGCAGCCGCCTGCGCGCATTTCTGCCGACGTTCGCACAGCTCGGTGTGGCAACGGAGCATCTCAAAATGCGCGTGCTTCCGGCGGAGTGCTAAAGTGGCTGCTCGTACGTCACTGACTCGTGTCATTGTGTGCTCCGTTGGAAGTTTCGGCCTGTGTGTGTGTGTGTGTGTGCGTGTGAAAGAGAGAGGAAGAGCGTATGGCAAGAATCAACAACAACAAAGTTAACAGTGACGTCGTGTTGTGAGGCGGGGCTGTGGCAGACTGTTACCGCTTCCCCTTTTCCGTCGCCAGCCTCTGCCACGCTCCCTTCTCCTCGGATTTGTAGATTTCGTTTTGGTGAATTCCACTCCTGATGACCGGAAGAAGCAAAGGCGCATTCTTGAATGTCTTGGGTCTTTTTTCTCTTTTTCTGCTTCGTTCTGCTCCTCCCCGCGCCCCCCCCCCTGTCGCATGGCTCTCGAGTCTTTTTCTTTTCCACGCGATTTTTTTTTTCGTTTGATTGTTTGGTACATCGATGTACATATATTCTTTGATTGGTGCTTCTAAAGGGAGGGGCAAGTCTGTTCCCTTCCGTAGAGACGTCGCTGCGCAGCAGTCATCATGTGGCGAACGGTCGAGACAAAACAACAGCCGTCCAGACGGCGCAGGGAGTCGACCGCTGTGACAAGGCGGAATCCGGCGGCTGTCGCATCATCGCGGACACCACCTGCTTCCACGCAGACGGTCGCGGCGCTGGTGCGAAGTCTCCGTCGGGCCTCACAGTCGTTGCGTGCGAGTGCGTTTGTGCGTCGAGACGTGCTGTTGCCTGTGCGACAGTACCTGAGCGCGCACGCAAAAGATAGTCTCACGGGTGTTCATCTCGTCGCCCTGGGCATCGGCCCCTTTTCTCGGGAGGAATCACGCTCTGGGTTCCTGCAGATGGCCCTTCTGCTGGCTGTGCGAAGTGAGTGCGAGAGTATCCTGCGGAGGCCTGCAGCATCGCTCGCAGCTTCTGCTGCGTCGACGGGCATCGCGGACGTTGATGCCGAAGCGGGGACAACCGATTTATCGCAAAACGCTCCACCGGCCCTCACAACAACCTTTTTTGACCCTGTCACAAACGAACTGCATGCGCGTTGCTGTGAGCAGTTGGGTGTTAGAATGGAGGAACAGAACCGCTATGGTGCATACACACCTGCTGGCCCGCATGCAGTCCTTATTGCATACCTTCCACACTCTCCATGGGCGCTGCTCCGAAATCTCTTTGTTTCAAACGCCATGCCGGGTGCGGACTCGGCAAGTGAGAATCAGCTGCAGCGTCTGCGATGCACGCTGGTGATTGGGAACGATGTCCGTGAGAAGCTGACGCCGTCCAGCGACATTATGGCGATTTTGACGCCATATTTGCACTTCCACGAGGTGAAGGCATTGAGTGGAAATAATGATGCTTATAATGGTGTTGCTGCTCATGGTGATTGTAACGATGATGATTATGATGGTATGGAGGATGCAGATGACCACCTCCCCAGTGGGCCAAGGGGAGTCAACCGGCACGATATTTTGCGTGCTTTCTCTGACACAGCAGTTATGTACCTAAATACAGAACGCGAGGCGGAACTGTCAGATGCGTTGCGACGGGTTCGACTTCCACGTCTCACACGAGGGGGACCGGACATTTGGTAAGTTATTTTGCGCGTGGCTCTTTTCCTTCAATTTTAAAGGAAAGCTGCTTCCCAAAGAGAGTGATATGCAAAAGTCATTTCCGTGCATCACCTGTACATCATTTTCGCTTTCTCCGATTATTGTTGTTTTGTTCTTGTAAATGTCGTGGGAGGCAACACGCTCAACTCGGAAGCTATTTCCGAAGAGGCTACCAGCGTAAAGGTATTGCGTCCTTGTTCTACTCGTTACAAGTGCGGCTTGAATGACAGTAACACCAGATTACTTCCACTGCATCACTGATGCCAGATTCCGAAGCAGCGTGTATGAGCCGGAGGCGGACACATTCCTGTTTCTCGAGGCCCTCGACAAGGACGCAGGTTTGCTCCGTGCAATGAAGCCGCGCCGCTGTGTGGAGATTGGGTGTGGGTCAGGCACTGTCATCTCTCACCTACAGCTTGTACTCTGTGGTGCTGCTGCTGCTGCTGGTGGTGAGGATGCAGGCGCGCTGGCGGCGGGTTCACAAACATGCAGTGAACCATGGCCGGAGTATCACGCCGTCGACCTGAACCCAGTGGCGCTAGAAGCAACCGGTATGACGTGGCGCAAGACACTAGATAGTTTAGGGGCTGATGCTGGTCCTTCTTTGCACCTCCACCACGGGGACTTGTTCAGTCCTTTTCAACAGCAGGAAGAGAAAGTCAATTTAGCGGGAGGACCCTATGAATTTGATATTATTCTCTTCAACCCACCGTACGTTCCGACGACCATGGAAGAGTTGATGCGGGCTGAGTCAGAGGAGAATTTTATTACTGCGGCGTGGTGCGGAGGCCCTCGTGGGCGTGTGGTTGTGGATCGTTTTGTCTCACACCTGCCTCAGTATCTTTCCGCGCATGGTGTATGCTATATAATAGCTATAAGTGTGAATGACATACCGGAGTTGATGGAGACTATCCGTGGCGTGTTTATTGCCAAGGCACCGCCCGGGGAAACTGTTCCTATTGCGGTTGAGGTAGTTACCGAGCGGTACACCGGAGAGTACTTGAAGGTAATTCGTGTTATGCGCAAGTAACATCAAGGGGCTCCCCATGCCACCTGATGACAGTAAAGTTCACTGAGGTTTTTCTTCCGTGCTAGGAAATCCCACGTTTCAGTCATGACATATTGAAGTGCCGCATTATGTGTGTGGTCATGTGGTGGCTGTGATACACGTACACATACAAAACATATCCACATTCACGCTCTCTTTTTAGGTCGTGTGTGTTCGCTCCATCTCATCGCTAGGAATGGAAGAAGTGATTGCCCCGGAGGATCCACCTCAGCTCGTGCGGGGTGTAGTCGTCCGCATCGGGCAGCCAAGCTGGAGTGCGGCATTCCTGCGCATCGCCAACAAGACGTTCCCGCTGGAGCCACACGCCAGTCACCTGAAGCGCATTCGCAAGAGATCAACGGCAGGGCAGTTGCCACCGATTTTTGAAGCCTCTAGCGTACAGAGCAGAAATATAACTGTGGGCGGAAATGACCAGGAAGAGGTGGATCCTTCGACAGTGTCAGGTGACTGTTCACTGGAGTTGCTTCTGGCAGTGGGTGAGTCGATTGATGCCAAATTGCTGCGGGAGTTCGAAACAGTGACTGGCGGTTCAGGTTCTGTAGTTGCTGACACCGTGTGGGTGCCGGACAGGGCCCCGCGCACATCTCCTGTGGAGTGGAGGAAATGGTGTGACATTTGGCCCTTTTCCGTGCCAAAGCCACGCCCAGCCTCTCCGTTACCGAATGATGAGAGAACGCAGATACGCCGTATCTTCAGCGAAGTTGTTTTGCCCTTGGCCAAGCGGGTGCGTAGCGATGAGACGCTTGGAATGGCGGCCACACTGGTTGACTCCTCACAGGATTGGCGTGTGGTTGCTTCTAGTGAAAAGGCTGTTGTGCTTCGCAGGTCTAACCCAGTTGCCTGCTTCGGATACATCCCAGTTGACGGGTGTAAATGCGATGAGAGCATCGTTCTGGATCACCCAGTCACGTACGTGTTAAAGGAGCTCGCACGAATTCAGTCTGGAGATGCTTCGAATGCTGAGGTTGTGTCCTATCTGGCCAACAACATGGATTTGATCGTTAGCCACGAACCNGCTTCGAATGCTGAGGTTGTGTCCTATCTGGCCAACAACATGGATTTGATCGTTAGCCACGAACCGTGTGTAATGTGTTCCATGGCGCTCGTGCACAGTAGGATACGTCGCGTATTCTACTGCTTTCCGAACCGTACACACGGTGGATTAGGCTCCGTTTTTCCGGTCCACAGCATTCCATCGCTCAACCATCACTTTCGTGTTTTTCGTTGCAGTCCGAGCTGGCTGTGCAAAGGGGGGCCGGAGCTGAACTGCTCTTGCGATGAAAAGTGCAACTGCTGGGAGGTATTGTGCAGTCCGTGATTGCGTATGTGGGTGTGGTGGACTAACAGGCGCACAGTGTCATTGAGTTCCTCTGAGCTCGGCGCAAAAGCATAACTGCGGTGTAATTATGTTTAAACAGGTAACTGAAATGTCCTCTATTCATCCTCCTTAGCCTTTCTTGTTATATATATATATATATATATATATATA